AGTAATCCACATGCCAGTGATTAGAGTCTTGCTGCTAAGTCGATTTTTATTTTACCCTCAGTCATTGCCCACTACGTGTACCATTGTTTACTTCACTGAAAGATCCGTTTAAAGAAACACGGGGAGATATTATTTCAATGAAGTAAATCAACGATCACTGAGGGAAAAATTAGTAGGAGGACCATAGAAAACCTAAGAGCACTCGATAGATGTATTGCATCATTTTCACATTTTTCAGCAGTTTACACACCTGACCGTACCAAGGGATAAACACGTCATCATTCTTTTATATAGTCAGTCAAAATCTAATAGACCACGAAATTTACCTACTTTCAGTTCGTGATATAGGGCAGTTGCTAACTGAGGTCACTGTTAAGTATCTGTCACCTCACTAGGAAACAAGCTACCCATCAGGACTCTGAGAAATTTGTCTCATCACTGGTCATTAACCGATAATGGATTAACTTGCATTTGTTGAGACTTTCGGCGTTTTGTTGATTTCATAGTAAAATTTTCTCACTACGGATACTGTCTGAAGACGGCAGTTAGTGGTGGCGCCACATCACAAATTTACGGAAGTTAGAATTTATGGTTACTTGGATCCCAACCCACCTAATTGCTAAATGGTAACGTGCTCTCCTCATAACCTGAAAATCTTCAGGTTGTTGACCGATGGGATCAAACCAGTACTTCTAGGTTTTTAATGCTTCTCAAGCCTGTGTGTTGGTCGATGATAAAATCTACCTTGGAATCTATAAAACTCTGTCAAACTTGATACTTTAGGAGTAATCTCCACTTGCAGATTAAGACCGTACCATGTTTAGGTTGTCCGATAGTTCTACTCAAAAAACCAATTTTTTAATTACAAGCAGCTATTGGTAAAATATAGCGCTTATACATGGTTCATTCATTCGGAGACTTGCCATGTCACTAAAAGCATTTCCAACAGGCTCCATACTATCACCAACAGCTGCTGTCTTCTCTGGCTTCATACTAAAGGCGAGATAGCCGGTTAGAAAAGATCCACAGACTAATAATCTATCGCTCAACCCAGGGATATGCTAACGACAGTGAAGATAGATCGAACTAATGCTAAAGAGGTCACTGAGCGAATTTGTATGCCACACGACTGTGTAATGGCACGTTCAGCTCGGATCAGAGGGTAGCATAGATGAGATCATTGCTCATATTGTCAATGGTGACTAAAGCCTAACAAACTTTGAATTTTCAGGGCGAAAAGATAATTTTAATGGTGCGTAATTCTCTGTTTATTATATTCTGGATGCATATCACTACACTACAGGTAGATGGGTTTGGAAAGCGGCTTAGTAGCTGAAAAACATCGGCGTCTTCTAAATAGTTCATTAAAACTTTGAATGGTTATTTATCCTGAAAATTTTCTAGTGAAATAACTGCCGACGCGAAATTTCTCTCCCAAAAATTTACTAACTGCTCCTATTAGTAATTAACTGTTAGCATTTATGAATCATTTATCTTCGCTGATAATATCTCCGACGAAAAATTTGAAAAAGTAATGATATCAACAATACTTATGGTCTAATTAAACTCAATTCGTATTTTATTGGATAACAAAAACGAAAGCTTCTTGTCGGCAACAATTCATAACTACTCAACTGACCGATGATAAGTATCTACTGAATCACGCACGATAACTTTTATTCTTATCAGTAGCTTTTATCGACAAGTACTATAGGAAGAGAGAGTGTCTTCCCCGCTCCCTCCCCCCCCCGGTTTCCGCCTCCATCTCTCTACCATTATGTTTTTTTTTCCGCGTCAATACGCCTAAACACGAACAATATCCAGACTGAAATGTACTCACTCATCTATGAGTAGGCATGAATACATACATAAGTTGCTAATGTGTTGTTACTTACTGCTAGACTCTTATTTCCAGTAAATAACAGTTAGACTAATTGTTGCTCATCTATTTGCCTGTTTGTTTTTATGCTACTGTCTGTTTGTTTTTTATGGAAAGAAAATACAAAACAGAGACAGAGGAAAAAGTGTTTATTCAACGGACAATCGAATTAGGGAAAAAGTTTTGTTTTTTTGTTCAAGCTAAAAATGCTGCTAGAAGAAGAGCAAGAGTGAAAGAGGCATTTTTTTACTCTATAGGCGGATAAGATTTTTTATTCTGCAAGTTTGTTTGGTGAAACACTCGTTCAGCACATACTGAAACTGTTAGGACGGACAACTGTCTATGTTAGCCACGAAGTCGTTTTTTCTCTTCCTTTACGTTCCCCAGTGGAACATAAGGCCTCAAGCTAGTGGCTTGAAGTTTCTGTAGCAGTGGTGTTTCTTTTACAGGATGGGGTTGCTAGCCTCATGCCCAACCTTTCCTCTTTATCAGCATTATTTCTGGCTTAGCGAGGTAAAGGAGCGCGTCGGCCGGGGATCGAACCCCAGACTCTGTGCATGGTCGGCGAGCGTCCTAACCGCTGTCCCACCGACGAAGTCGCCTTACTGACCTGATAACCATATGGTACAGTTTTGATTCGTCAATTTCTGGCTTAGTTCCCTGAGGGTTTATAAATATGATATGTCATGTATTTTGTCTAATGAATGTTGGCGTTGTTGTTTGACTAGTCGTTTTTCCCACAATGACTTTTGTATGTATACCTCAGTGTGGGAGATGGTCTCAAGTGATCAGGAGGTTATAGTGTCGTGCTATGGAGGTGCATCCTAGTCAATTTACACGACAACTACAATCTTGTATCACTCAGTCATAATGAAAACGATAAGTGTAAACAGACGTCCATACTCAGTCAGTGTCGGCATAGAGATTAGTTGACATCACAGTATGGTTAATTTTACGAGCATGATGGAGAAGATTTGTAGCTCAAGTGGATGAGTTTTATGCGGTTGTATTCTCTGAACTGAAAAGCTTATTTGTGGATCTTTCACTGACGTACTAGGCAACATCTTCAGCGCATACTTCAGTTTGAAGGGAGGTTTTACATTTCTCCATGAGTTTATTAGTCATCTCTCCTGGTGACCTTGAACGTGATTGGTTGTTTTTGTGTATTTTCACACCATCTAGACCACTTGTATTGGAACTGACTGCTTCCTTGACTTCAACTTTGACCCTTTGTGTGTGAGATTTCTTTCTTATCGATTGGTAAATTTTGTAGATATTGATGTGTCTACAGATTGACGATTCACTGGAATACCAGGATTCTGAAAATTCTCCAGCATTCTTGATGTTTCCTCTCTCTAATATTTGAATGTTGGTTGTTCAAGTCGAAATGATATCCGTGGTTGTCTGTATGCAGCGAGATGAGCAAGAGAGTAGATGTCATGTCTTTTGATGGCCGGTTTATAATCATGGATATGAAGACATAAGGGACGTCCACTTTGGCCAATGTAGTGTTTTTCGCAGTTATTACAATTTATTTTGTAGATGATGTTGGTTTTATCTTCTTTCGTTGTTGAGTCTTTTGGTTGACATAGAGGCAGCTGTTTGAAGTGATTCTGTTGATGTGTGTGCGACGTCAATTCCTGAAAGTTTGAAGAGTCTTGCAGTGATTTCTGAAATGTCCTTTATGTATTGTAGGGCGATTTTCTTTTCGCTTTCCTTAGGGGCCTTTGATTTGATAGGTTGGCTTGGAGGTAATTACAACACACAAAAGGAATTTTATGCAAACACTATTCAAGAGGGCCAGGATTCATTGCAGCACTTCCACCTTAAGGAAAATTGAAGAAAGTTAATTCATGAACGTCTTCCAAAAGAATGGATATCCACGGAATTTCATCAAGAGATATTTCTTATGTTTGCCTTATCAGCCTGGCGTTTCAATATGACGGCTACTACCTCAGTGTACAGATATCGAATTAGTTATCTAGGATTTGAGTATTGATATGCTGTGCTTCACATACCACTGGGGAACTATTATTAGCATCCTTATCCATTCCATGTATTGCGAGGGGAAAATAAGGCTTTGACAGCACATATCCATTGCAGTGATGATAATTAAGACCAATTCCACTCTACTCTATGCATACGAACCATAGATATTTTAGAAGGATGCTCGTCACTAGTTTCGATTCTGATAGTTTGCTGTAAGCTACTGCGTTGCATTATCCATCTGACTTCATTTAAAGAGTCGTGAGACGCCAACAGATGCTAGCCTAAAGAAATATCCTTTATTCAACTATGCCATGTTGTGAGCTGACCAGCTTTGTACTTTTTCCAACAAATCATAGGGTTAGAGAAAACAAAGAACATTATGGGATAACCTGTGTTACTCAGTCATTCATAGATGTCCTTCGTTGGCCAATTAATCAAGTAATTTCATCAATAAGAAGGTTTTTAAAACCCTGATATTATAACCTCAAATACGCATCAATTTCATCATGACTTCAATCTGTACATCAGCAGCAAATATGGAGGGATGTCAATAGTTCTGTAACCTGAAAAAAATGGAACACAACTTAAAGGTATGATCTCAGTCATCTAAATATCAAGGGTCAGTGTATGCATCAGAGAACTACCGAAAACCAGAAAGTATTTAACAGCTATTTTGCCCTAGTTTTTGACACCTTGAAGGTACACAGCCATGACTACACAACTAGTCGAAATAGGGATTTTCAACTAATCAGGTGGCTATGTTATCACCCTTGGGGTTGCATCAGTTGAAACCCAATAGACCATGACTTCTACCTTCTGTCATATTGTGGCATAGCTCCAAGTCCAAATAATATCACCAGCAATTACGTGTATTCACATACGATTCGATGGAACCAACTGGAAGTGACTTCTCAATAGCACCCTGGTTTGGCCTTGGATATGTGACACTTGAGAATGCCGTACTATGAAAAAATAACTGACCAGTGTTTAAGGGAATTGATTAATTACATTAGAATCGCTGGGTATCTTCTCATTCATATATGAATAATAATCAGTATGCTCAAAGTACTACTGATAATTAATTTTCATTTGATAATGTTCTTCTTTCTTTTCTTCACTTGACAATTTTCAGAACAGGCGTATTTGCTCGATCACGTGCACTAGAAGATTGTAGACAGAGAACGAATGCTATTTTAAAAACAATTCAACCAAATCATATCAATATGGATTTGATAAGATCTGCTAGAATAAATGCAGCTCGTGAAGCTCATTGGATGAATCAGTTGACTAACAGACTGACACATGTTCAAGTAAGTTTAAATGTTTTACTTTCTCTTTAAATCGATTTTTTGAAGAGAAAAAATGAAATGATACTATGTATTAACATACATAAATGACAAGCAGTCTTAATTTCACCAGATGCGTCTATTCAATAAGGAATTAATTTATCGGTCTTTCATAATTCCCAGTAAAAGAGGTTTTTGGAAAGCTGTATACAATCAAAATATCCAGTTCAGATTGAAGACGACTCACAGTTTTAAATAGCTAACGTTATCATTGTGAGTCCTATGACCTATAGATTAACTACTTGACCCTGTTTACAGATAGACAATTCTGAGAATAATAATAATAACAGCTTTATTCCAAACAGCATTTGTGGTACAGGTATGGAATTTTCAGCGTGCATTACAATATTGCACCTAATTACCCCATAAATTTTATAAGATTTAGAAAACAAAAAGCAACAACCAAAAAAAAAATAGATAAATAAAAAAATAAAAAAGAACAGCGTTGCGTTTACATTTTAAACAATATACCCTAGGAAATGAAATATAAAATTAGTGCGTAATAGAAGATGTGAACAACAATATAATAGTAACGAAGAAAGGAAAACAAAAACCAAATGGGACTATTTGTTAGAGTGCCACAGCAAGTCGATCGTGTCATACCTAACGGATTTCTCATCACATAACAGCTGTGCCAGATATGGTATTGTGGAGTTTTTGCACTTGGTAGTCCTAGTATATATCCTCCTATAGCTGCTTCTTGTTCTACCAGATGAAATGCAAGGAGAGAGCTGCGTACAGAGAGGATGCTCAGGGTCTGACAACATTGTATGCGCTAGTTTCTTACATGACATAATATGTCTATCCACAATAGTGTTAACCAGTTGGTTTAGCGATATCCCACTTGCCCTACCAACGACTTTTAGTGCCCTTCTCAGTAAAGCAAAGTCTTTCTTAAGTAGTCCAGGAAAGATTAGTGGGGAGCAGTAAAGGGGCATAGGTGGAATACAAGAATTGACAAACTGAGAAAGCAAAGACTGCTTTATACCAGACTGCCTTAACTTCCTAACGTAGAACGCTAAGCAAAACATCGTTCTAGTAACTAGCAAGATGTAGGAGGCCCAGGAAAGATCGGTGGAAAAACTCAGCCCAAGGTACTTGACATTAAATGTAATTCCAATTCTATGCCATCAATGATAGTGGGGCCATGTGAGCTAACTAGTTGCTGTAGGTCACATTTAAGTCTGAAAGTGAAATTGACTACCTGACATTTAGACGGATTCAGCTTAAGACCGTTTGAAGAGGACCACTGATTAATTTCCGACAGAAAGTTATTTAACTTGGAACAGTCTGACTGAGAGTTGACAGGCATAGAAACCGAGAGGTCATCGGCATACTTAACAAAAGTGGCTACATCAGAATGGGGCAAGTCATGTAAGAAAAAGAAAACAGAAAAGGATAAAAAACAGCACCTTGAGGAACATCAGCTAAAGTAGGTGACGTGGCGGAGGACTTTCCATTGTAGAAGGTGTACTGCTTCTTATCAGAAAAATAGGAATGCAGCCACTTATTTGTCCAGCTCTCAGCCTGTGTTGCACCAAGCTTACTTAGCAAGATAGACCTACGTACAGAGTCAAATGCACATGTGTAATCAAGGAAGGCACACTGAACGTATTTAGCTCCTCTATCTAAACTAGAGACCATATTATGATGTAGGACAACGGCGGCATCTAAGTTGCACCTACTATGTTTATAAGCAAACTGGTTGGGGTCATTGAAAGGCTTTAAAGAGGGTTCAAGATTAAGTAAAATAAGTCTTTCCATAACTTTCAAAAAAGGTGAAGTAATAGCAATGGGTCTAAACCTAACATTAGGTCCACTTGTTGATTTAGGCACTGGAAAAGTCCTGATATTTTTCCATACTTTTGGAAAATGATTCTTTGAAAACGTCGGTTAATGGGGAACATAAGATATCAGCATACTTCTTAAGGATATCACCAGGAACACAATCAGGACCAAGGGACTGAGTAGGTTTGAGAGATTGAAGACACTTAATGACATCATTCGTATCAAAGCATGAGAAGCAGTCATTATTTACACTATTAGAGTTTGGAATCATAACATTTGCAGGGGTACATATGAAGGATTTATTAAGCATATCAACATTGACAGAAGCATCATTCATTATTTGCTTACCACCTGTGATTTCCTTTAATAACTTCCACATATTAGATGAGGATTTACATTAAAGAAACTTCTGGTTATAGACAGCATTCAATCTTTGTAATTCAGCTTTAATCAAAGTGTTCATTCTCTTAACACCAGATTTATTTTTCATTTTGTACAACCTCTCTTTTTCACGACGAAGCTTTTTGAGTTGAGAAGGGGAGAAGCGGTCAAATTTTACGAAGATTGTCTTTTTTGGACAACAAACATCAAGACAGAAATTAAGATAATGTGTTATTTTAGTAATTATGTTATCAAGAGCTTGTTCAGTAAATAAGTCCCAGTTTGTGTCTTTGACATGGTCCTTAGATTCTGTATGTTGTCATTAGAATAACGTCTGTGTTGTGTTTTCTTTCCAAGGCATGAGAAGACCCTTTTGTGCTGCTTTCCACATACTTTGGGAAATATTCTTATGATACAGTGCTCAGAATTAAATAGTGGGGCTATGTCATCTGAGTTAGGTGGTTTAATTGCGAAGCTTTCATTATCCTTCTAGACATCTTCAATAGGAAGTAATTTGTTTTTGTAACTCACTATGAATGATCCGATTGTCTTTCTTGATGGCCTGGGCTATTACTCGCGTAACTTCAGAAGTCTCATTATCCTAGTGTCACAGATTTGATGAGTGTCATTGAGTCTGTTGAGTGAAGAATTACCTGATTACCAAATTTCGCAAAATTCTCTAGCATCTTTAGTATTTCCATTGTTTAAAGTTTTCATATTTTCCTAGTCATATTGAAGTTTCTAGTTGTCTACGCGTATTGCTTTGGAGAGATATGTGTCGTGTCTTCTGACAACTGGACTGAAAGTTTAAGGAGATATCTAGTTTGTTTAGTCTAGTTTTCATCTTAGTTGGTACAAGTGATCTTGTAAATGATACTCATCTTGAAGGATATTGAAGAACTGAATATGTTGTCTAGAAGGACACTGAATCCTACCTATATCAGAGGACACAACCACACCAAAAATATTCACCTGGGTTACAAATTATTATCATTATTATTGTTATTCCCTTGGGTTCCGAGTGATAAATGGGGCTTCAACAACACATTGTATTTCACTGTGTTTTCCGCCGTCCTCTTTACCTGGCTCCATGGCTGTCCACAAACTTTCATCTCCTCAATATCACACTTGGATGTCACTAGCGTAGTTTTCCACTCTAGCTCCATTCGATGGCCAGGAACACGACTTCATTTAATAGTCTCCTAAAAGTATGTGCAATCTACCTTAATTTCCTTTTATATGTTTCTTGGGTGATAGATTATGTGTCAGTTCGTTACCAGAGTTCCTTGTTGCTAAACTTTTCCAGTTAGCTGCCTGATCATTAGTATTTTACTGAAAATACCTTCATTAATGCTCCAGATCTCCAAAACAAATTGATTTTCTTTTAGTGTTGAAAATTCTAATTTTGTTCCCTATGCTGAATGCAGAAGACTGTCAGGCTTCATTCAGAGTAGTGAAGCTTCTCTGCCTTGCCTTTCCGATCCTGTCGGTCTTTGACATTTTATTCCGTGACGCATATATTTGAAGCTATGCAGCTCACATTAGTAAAAGAGATAACTTCCTTCACATTTCTCCCATTGATAGTGACTGGCGCTTGCCGTTGTTGGTGAGGTATCTTCATCACCTGTCTTGTTTATGTTCACGTGAAGTCCTGTCTTCGCTGCTTATTCTGACAGCTTGCTGATTTTTCGAGTTAAAATTCATCTCCCCTTATTTTAAAAATTCTGATAATCAGTTCATTCGTGAACAGGAAACACTTCCTTCCTTTCGGGCCTTTACCATCTCAGTAGAAACTTGATAAAGAAGGAATATACATATGGGATTTTCAGTATATCAGTGTGATACTTAGTTTCCTGCACAACAGAAAGACAGTATTTAGTACATCAGAAGAGCAAGCTGAATGTTTACACCTGGGAAAAAATTTGTGTGTAGCGATTATTAGTAAATATTGCAACCCTTTCAAGGCTATTCACTGCTCAAACACCTTCCTGGACCTGAAAGTATCCCTGAAAAAGCCAAATAGCGAAACGTAACACCAACGAAAAATTGGTGATTGATCTTACTGATTAGTCTTGTTTTTACTGTTCAGCTTTACACAGAAGTGCAGCAGTTCAAGTCACAACACTCCGCATAGTATACAGAGGTTGAGGAAACTACTAAATTCAGGCATAATGAACGAAAACATGCTACAGAATGAATAAATGTGTGGAGAATAATAAGAAATTGATGGACATAGGTGTTCATAGAGCTTGAGTATTATCCGCATCACTTAGAATTATTCTGAGCACTGTCACCAACAGTATTTAGCCATCAGTTCCTGGCTTCTTTACCTGCATGGTTCAAACTGACAATAAAAAACTTTGTGGATTGATGATTCTTTTTGATTTGACCGCAACTCCTACTTGTGAGAAACCCAAGTTCACATCTCTTATATGCCATTTGGTATATGAAAGGATGCCTGCTGGCTTCGAGTCTCAGTGGGAATACCATCATTCGCTGGGGATTTCAGTAGTATCCAACCAACAGGACCTGGTAACAGTGCGAAAGGTATATCCTGGAATCCACTATTTGCCATCATCAATCAAATTATACTATTTTCACACAAAATGTCGATAAAGACCAAGCATTTTGGTCTAACGAAACTCAACTAACGGTAGATACAAAATTACGTAAACTAATAATCGAGTTCGCAATTCACAAGTCAATTTACCACTCATAGTTTACACATTTCAGTGTGAAATTTCGCCACAGTTTCGTTTGGCATCTAAAATTTTTCTGATCACAATAAATGATCA